TGGGATGGTGTATCCAAAACCTTCTTCTATGAAGCTGTGCATCAGGTTGGAAATTGAGGCTACTTCTCCGTGTAAAAATGGCCCATGTGGCTTAGATCCTGTGTAGGCAATAGAGGGATGACCCTTACTTATTGACCCTTATTCCTTATTTTTATTTCAGTCTACCACACTTATTATTTTAAATATTTACACTGATCATTGAATTGCCCTCAGGTGTAATGAGTCTATACTACTGTAATCATATAGGTATTTGATAAAAAGACTGAAAAGTTAGGCTCTAGGGTTCCAAAAAGCAGGTTTCTCAGCACGATGTCCTTGATACTAATTAACAAAGCAATTGCCACAGGTTCATGTGGAAGCCCTAGGAGTAGTAACCAGCGAGTGAGTCCTGTTCCTTCTTATAGAGCAGCGGTTCTCAACCTGTGGGTCGCGACCCCTTTGGCGGTCGAACGACCCTTTCACAGGGGTCGCCTAAGACCATCCTGCATATCAGATATTTACATTACGATTCATAACAGTAGCAACATTACAGTTATGAAGTAGCAACAAAAATAATTTTATGGTTGGGTCACAACATGAGGAACTGTATTTAAAGGGCCAGAAGGTTGAGAACCACTGTTATAGAGCATACCTGACATGCACCCTCACCACCAGTTGTAATGATGTTTAGTTGAGAATGAAACACAACCCATGCACCAATGATAATGGCCCACTAGCCTTAACCTTATTCCTTATTTTTATTTCAGTCTACCACACTTATTATTTTAAATATTTACACTGATCATTGAATTGCCCTCAGGTGTAATGAGTCTATTCTACTGTAACCATATAGGTATTTGATAAAAAGACTGAAAAGTTAGCTCCTGGGAATCTTTTTAAAATCCTGATTTCTAGGCCTCATCCTTCCGGTGATTCCCAGGTAATTCTAATGTGCAGCCAAGGTTGAGAACCACTGCCCTAGGAGTTGTAACCAGCAAGTGAGTCCTGTTCCTTCTTATAGAGCATACCTGACATGCACACTCACCACCAGTTGTAATGTTTAGTTGAGAATGAAACACAACATATGCACCAATGATAACAGCCCACTGGCCTTACTGAGCATTTACTGTTTCCCAGGTACTGGCCAAGGATTTACAAGGTGTGTCTCATTTCATGCTTCTACACTAAGTGTTTAGACTCTGAAGGGGTCTGGGTATGTTTCCAGCTTGGGGAAATCTCAGCCTTTTGAGGCTAATTCACTTCCTTTTCCACAGAGACCCAATAGCCCATCCCTGCATTTGTACACAAAGTCTTCCAGTGTGGGTAGCTTTCTAGAGGGAACTGTTTTCTTATTTTCCAAGAAGTCTATTAAATATGCTGAATTCTGCTCCTTCCTATTCTTTTCCCCATTGAACAGATGTTTACCAACGCTCCATATGCACCTAGGCATAGAAAGATTCGGAATGTAGGATCCTAGTCAAGGAACTCCCACTCCATCAGGCATCTCTTCATCTCAGCACACCACTGACCCTCTCCTGTCTAGGCCTAGTTCAGGCAGAAGAGAAATGTCTCTGCACCCTTCCACAGCTCCTGCTTCCTCCCTCCACCGCCCCCTGCCCCCCTCTCTCTCTCACACACTGTTCACGTCCTAACCTTTGCTGCCCCCTAGTGGCAGGCCTGAAGAATAAATATCACTGTGCTTCGAGATACATATCCCTGCTTCAGGGATTTTGCTTGCAAGTAAAACAATTTTTTTCACCAATTTTTCTTAATGAGGTACGCGCCGCCAATGTGCACTGTACATTCCACAAGCATTGCCTTCTTATTTTACTTCTTTTAGCTGTTTAACTTTGTAAGATGCAAAGGTTGGATCATTTTAAGTGACTGTGCTGCCCCTTTTCACATCAGAACTACTGACAACGAAGGCCGCACCTGCTGCTCCCATCTGCCTGGCTGGCTGGCGGGGAAGGGGGACAACTTGCATGTTGGTGAAGGAAGGAGCTGGGTGGGACGAGCGTGAAATCTAGAGTTAAAACCAAGCTGGTCCAAGGGGTCCTGCGGGCTGTAAAATGCAGTTTAATCAGAGTGCCATTTTTTTTTTTGTTCAAATGATTTTAATTATTTGTACACCTCTTTAAACTGTAAGGTGTTTACTTCAAGGTCCAGGGTTGTATCATACCCAAGGATGAGCTTAGTCACGAGGGGAGAGGCAGTGCAGTGAGGTTGGCCTAGGAAGGGAGTGACAAGGTCACGTGGGTGCACGGACACATCAGAATCCACAGCACCTCTGTCCTGCTCAATCTCCATTTGCTTCCATGTCTCCTTCCTGCTCTGTGTTCAAAGGCATCAACTTTAAAGAATGATCTTAGAGCTTATCTTGTCTCCACTTGCTATTCTGAAGATAAACTGACTCAAAAGGGAAAAGTGAAGTATATGGCATGATGGGGTGATAATTCAGATCAATTAAACTAGCTAACATAGACTGTGCTTATTTTTGTGCTAGCTTTCTAAGGGTTTTATATTTATTAACTTAATTTTCATTTCAACCTGTTACAGGTTAAATTGTGTCCCCCTCCCCCATCCCCCAAAAAAGGCTATATTGAAGTCCTAACCCCCACTACCTGTAAATGTGACCTTATCTGGACATAGGGTCTTTGCAGATTTAATCAAGATGAGGTCTTTAGGGTGGGTTCTAGCTGAGCGGCGCTCCCCCTGTGGGAGTGCACTGACCACCAGGGGGCAGCTCCTGCATTGAGCATCTGCCTCCTGGTGGTCAGTGCACGTCATAGTGACTGGTTGTTCCACCGTTTGATTTGCATATTAGGGTTTTATTATACAGGATAATTTATAACAGACTGTGATTACCTCTGTTTTAGTTAAGGCTCTGCCCCTTCTTTAAACTGTAAGGTGTTTACTTCAAGGTTCAGGGTTGTATCATACCCAAGGATGAGCTTAGTCACGAGGGGAGAGGCAGTGCAGTGAAGTTGGCCTAGGAAGGGAGTGACAAGGTCACGTGGGTGCACGGACACATCAGAATCCACAGCACCTCTGTCCTGCTCAATCTCCATTTGCTTCCATGTCTCCTTCCTGCTCTGCGTTCAAAGGCATCAACTTTAAAGAATGATCTTAGAGCTTATCTTATCTCCACTTGCTATTCTGAATATAAACTGACTCAAAAGGGAAAAGTGAAGTATATGGCATGATGGGGTGA